GGGCGAGTCTGCAGCCTATAACGGATCATGCACGCGACGTTCAAGTGGAATGAGAGGGCATTCGGCACAGTTAGTGCTCTTTGTTTTGCTATGACTCATTTCCATGCACGGATCAATCCTCTCTGCAGCGAAGACGGTAAATTTTACCGCGCTGTTGCGGTATTTTGCCAAATACAGCTTTTTGGCGGAGGAGAGACGTGCTCGCCGTGCACAGACGCAAAGTGCCTGCCGTCGTCGCCGCGATGGTCGTATAGAAGTTGCCCGTAGTAGTCGTGCACGATTGTCATACCTCGGTTAGTAAGTACTCAGTGATCGGTAACTGCAGTAACACAGTACGCAGGTTGGAAATGCTGTTACTGATGGACCATCTGATAATATCGCTGTTGCATTAATATTAATCTTATTGCGGGCTATCTGATATTCTGCATGTAATCTATTATGCCGTTGCATCGCCAACTGGCTTGAAGTATCTTTTCGTCAGTTGCAAGGTAACTGGCCATGAGATCTACTATTTAGCAAAGCTCTACTCGATGTTAAATCAGCCGAAGAACATACATCAGACGCTACAACAGTGCCAGATGAAGATGGACCAGGCGAAGACTCAAATGCTATCGACGCTACGTCTTACATACCGCCAGTCGACCTTATTGAAACTGTGAATTGTTTTCGTGAAATGGAGAAAAGTGAGTACCATCTGCAAAACAATACTACAAGGATCGTGGCGTCGCAGGAAAACGAGCTTGGTCTTTCACCCTCACGGAATGAAACAGCTTTATCCACTGACATTGACTTCACCACCCCTTTCAATTCGACGAAACCTGGAGTGACTCCTGTATTGAAGAAGTACTACCCGACAAAAGCTGCAGTCACTGTAAAATCTACGGAAGAACCACCCAGTGTGAAGAGCTTATTATCCCCCAAAATCTGCAGTAAAGGCAAAAGCGGCCAAGAAAGGACCGAAAAAGCGGGAACACAAGAAGGTCGGCTTAAAGTGCTACGTATTTCGAAACCCAGAATTAAACCAGCGAAAAAAACGAAAGCAAGCTCAGCTGGAGAAACTCGCAAAGCCTGAAAATCTAGCCGTTATTACTTTACTGGACAAGCATGCACCATACGTGTCTCGCGTTATCGTATTGATAACAAATACTACCGATCAGAATCATGTCAGCGATATCTTGGCAGATTATTCAACGATCTTGTACAACGATGTAATGAATGCGCGTGCTGCACACAGCTATCGAGAGTCTGTGTCTCCCGAGGAAGGTCGCACACTACGCAGGCAAATACAAAGGAAGATGATATTTTTCCCGGAGGTAGTGTGGTGTGCAGGGGTGTGTAGGGTGGGAAGCCACAAAAGTCATATTTTAAAGTTTTCACATTATTAAAAATAGTAGTAAAATCGTGATTAATTATCTAACACTGATATAATAACTGTGTGTACTACTTCTACAAATAACTATAGTACTACGCAAAACAGTATTGTAAGTTTACTTATTAGAAAAGTACTACGAAGCCTAAAACATCATTCTATAACCAATAAGTACTAAAGTTTTGATTGAGGCGGAAATATGAGTCCTTACAGCCTACAACTTTTTTCAACAGCTTCTACGACGATATAGTACGTGCGTGTCCGTCCACGCCTTATCCTAATGCTAACTAACGCGCACACAGGCAGCGCCCTTCGCGTGAGGTGGCGGTCCACAGTTGAAAATGGGGCAAAATGAAATTTGAACGGTGCACATAAGTACGATGTGTAGACCACATACAGTGTGTACACCACATACTGCGATTTTAGCCAGTCGACGCCGCCTTCGCTGCGCTCGGCAGCCAGTAGAGCGCCCACATTTGCGTGACATTTTATAACCTAACCCGTTACGGACGGATGGACTGACAGATCGACAGACACCGGACTCCACTAGACGGGGTGATAGTTTTTTCCTAACATTTCCCATAATCAGTACCTATCTCAAAACTAGCATAAAACCAGTACCTTCTTAAAAGTAGGGTGGACCACCTACGCAAAGCACAACATGTAGTTCAGCTTTTATTTTTATTTCGAGGTGGACAAAGTACGTGTACCGCACCGTGCTAGCCTATTATGTATATTCGTTCGTGATGCGTTCTTCTTCACGTCTGGATATTCCACGAACTCCTCCATGTATGGGTAGGCTGGGCGCCCGCGTACATCATCTAATGAAGCGTGATGATACGTAGCGTACTTGTCCATCTCAGTATATTTCGTCTCTGATTACTCAGCTTACTCGCAACTGCTTCGAGTTCTCCACCTCTTATGACGCTGTGACCTTGTGCTTGTGATAACCTCGCAGCGTACGCCGTGGATTTCCTGTCTGCGGTGCAAATGGTCGTCATAGTCAGGGCTAAGTACTCGTCCAGATACATGTAGATACCCAAATTTGTGTCGGTTTAAGTTAAAGCTTACCCGGGCTATTCTTTCATCTTCTGTTTTTTCTTTCTTTCATTCTAGTACCCATATGAGCATTCGCATGCGAAGGCGATGCGAACAACGACGCACGAGCTCGATATGATAGTTGTGGCGTTCCACCAGGAAACTATGCAATAATTGCTTCGTTTTTGCTGTCCTGGTGCTCAACCACGGGGTTGAAATACTTCGACTTGGGTCGCTTCTTCCGCTCTGCTTCAATGACTGCGTTCGGCTTGATTATCAGCGGTTTGGGAATCACAAAGTTGTAGACGTAGTAAAATATTGTGCAAACTTTCCAACAATATAGGTAGCGTACATCAAACAAAATGGGAACAGCGTTTGTGATTAGGTTAGCGCGGAGGCACGTGACTAAAAATCAAGAGCACGAAACACGAAGGAGCACCGTCCCGCACTATGTACACGTTGGGATAGAGGAGCAACACGAAGCACGGAAGGCCATGGACGATGATAGATGACTTAGCCGATGCAAACCACGAAGTTGTTTTATGCGTAGCGTGAAAGATGAAAGGGCACGCAGCCATGGAAAAGACATAATGACAAGAAACGACGGGAGCGTACGGGCCACGGAAGGGAACTAAATATAAAGACACCCCAGCATGCTGAAAAGCACGGCTGCAGAAGAGCACGCACGCACGAAGCCACGGTAGAGCACGTAGCGGTAAGAGTGCAGGGACAGCAATTCTCCCATAGCACAACGGTAGAACACGGAGCACAGTCGACCGACCAAACATGAAGCCGTGGTAGACCTTAAACGGGAAAACATCGAGCATTGGAGCCCATAACCAGGATAGAGCCGAGCCACGGAGCACTATATAACGGTAGCAGTCACGATAGCTCGGACGACAGACCAACCGCGATACCGCGAAATGACACGATAGCACGGACGGTGACCCAGCCACTAAACCGTGGGAGAGCACGCCACCACGGGAGCTACAGACGGGAAATCGCCGAGCCACGGAGGACAGTAGTACATTAGACCTCGATTGACGATAGCATAGGACAGCGCAGCCACACCGCGATTGCATGATAGCGCGATAACGCGTTAATAGGGTTACACTACGAGAGCACGATACGGATCAGCCCAACTACGTGGATGCACCAAGCCATGGAATAGCACCCTTCGGGTAGAGTACCGGCGATGGAAAGCCGACGACCACGAACGACTATGTACCACGAAACGTGTGCAGCCCACGTAAATTTTTGAGAACAGGGAATAGTTAGTTGCCACGAAAGAGGCCGTACTAAAGAGCATGACCCCAAAAGAGAGGGCGCTTAACCACTAAGCAGCGTGGACAACGGGTGAGCAGGGACTCACGAAGCCAGGAAGAGCACGGGCCACTCAAGAGCATGACATTCCAGCCTGAAGTACGGGGTAACGGAAACGTAACCACGATATTATACGGCGCCGGATGAGACTACGGAACGGTGAGTGGTTAAGTACAGGAAGGCAAGATCTACTGAGTGAACGACGCTCACAAAACACGCGACACCAAGAAGCACTAAAATTTGCGGCCACCTCATCTCCAACAAACCATGCCACTTCGCCGCGTAGCGACAGCGGCCGGCTAGTCCTAAGCTATCAACGCTAGCACGATGTTTGTCCGTCCGTCCGTCCCACGAACGCTCAGGTTTTTCAGCTTTATCATTGGCTGTCGAGCGGAGCGAAGGCGGTTCCAATTGGTTAAAACTGAATTATGTTGCTTGCATCGGTAAATTCATGTGGTTTACAATGGAGATTTGCACAAGACTATCCATTATCCGAAGGCGGCACCGTTTTAATAAAACCGGTACGAAGTATTTACTATATTGATAATGCATGTTGGTTTTAATATTTGAGTGCTACTTATTCTAAAATGAAATAGCCCCTAAAGACGTTTCCTATGCTGCAAGGTACACGTGGGAATGTTTTTTTTTTAGGCCATACTATTAATTTACGTAATACTATGTTCTTAATTGTTTTGAATTAATTTATATCTTTCATTGAGTTTGATATGAGAAGTGAACAATCTTTAGTTACTTACAAGCTGAAATAGGCAGTACAAGCTGGATAGACCATTACTATCTTTTGCGCTGATGTGAGCTAAGTTTCATAGCGAGCTCAGCAATGGCCCGTGATATCGAGCACGACGCTAAACTAAACATATTGTGTAGCGTTTGTATAAATGTTATTTGAAGTGCTGGTGGTTTTGGGTGGAAGATGAAGATACAGTGATAGCCAGCAATAAAAAAGAGATTACATCAAGAATCTTGATTCAAGATCATTAGAATAATTATTTCTTAAATCAGGTAAGCATGATGCAGACCCAAATTAACGTTTTTAAAAAAAAAACGATTTAGGTACACATGAGTTCAGCGGTTTTTTTCAATAGTTATCCCGCCGAAACATAGCGGAGGCGGGAAGGCCAAAGCAAGTAGAGCTAAACCTAAACTACCGCCGCGTAGCTGCGGCGCTCGGTTAGTTATAAATTGGCAGAACCCGTCAAACAATTTATTTCGAAAATATTAAAGAAAAAAAATGCTCAGTGATCTACTACTCTTACGAATTGATTGGCGAAGAAGGGCCCGCCGGTGGCTCCTCTCTCTTACCGTAGAATTTCTCAAAGTCTCGCGAAATTTTCTTAGTGAGATCATCGCTGTTGTTGGTTACACCCAAAATGGTGTTAACACTCGCGGGAGTTTTGCCCTGGCTGAACCATTTCTCAAACTGCAGCAAACACAAATTTGCCGCCGGATTCTCCGTGCTCTCAACCATGCCGGCCGCCATAAGCATCCTGGCCAAAGCGTCGTCACTGTAATGGGCTGCCAAAGTGGTGAACATCGCGACGTTTGGGTCTTTCGTGCTGGCCGTGGCAATGAGCTCAGTCCACCTGGCAAACTGAGGGTTTGCAAATCCCTCTGCGCCCATCTTGTTGAGCCCAAGAATCTTGAAGACTTGATCAGGAGATTTCTCGCCATTCACCCAGTTGGTAAGTTGAATCCCCTCCATTCTAGTAGCCAGAGCCTTGGCAGCGTCAGCTTCTTTAGCTGCGGCGAACATCTTGGCCAGGGCCTCGTCGCTGTAGTGGGTTCCCAGTGTTATGTAAATGGCCATGTCCGGGTTTTTCGTGTTTGTTTGAGCGATGAAGTCGGTCCATCCGGCAAACTGAGGAGCTTCAAAGGCTTTTGTTCCCGCCTTGTCAAGCGCCAGACTCTTAAACAAATCGTCAGGCGATTTCTTACCATTAACCCAGCTGGAAAGCTGAAGCCCTTCCATTTTAGTGGCCAGGACCTTGGTGCTGTCGACTTTTTTGGCTTCGGCAAACATCTTGACCAGAGCATCATCGCTGTTGTACGTTTTCAAAGCTCGGTAAATGAACGCGTCTGCGTCTGCCGTCTTGGCTTGAGCGATGTAGTTCGTCCACCTGGCAAATTGAGGGTTTGAAAAGACATGCACGCCGGCCTTCTCAAGCGCCAGCAATGTGAATACGTCGGCGGGGGATTTACCGGCCTCAATCCAACGAGAGGACTGATCCTTCCAGTTTAGTGGCCAGAGCTCTCTCGTGCTGTCGACTTCTTTAGCTGCAGCCAACATCTTGGCCAGAGGAGCGTCACGGTAGTGAAATGCCAGTGTCAAGAAGATTTCCGTCTCCGGGGTGTCCTTGCTGTTCTTCGTGACGTATGTGACCCACTTGGCAAACGTCGGGCTTTCGAACAGATTGCTTTCTGCCTGCTGCAGTTTTAGCTTCACGAACACATCATTCGGAGATTTCTTTCGTAGTTGCCACCACTTTAACTGGAGCTTCTGGATGAGGTTGGCAGCCCAGGCCTTGGTGCTGCTTGCGGCCTGTCCAAGACCTGGGAGACTTACACCGAGCTTCCTCTCTTCTTGGACTGTGGCCGCTCTCAAGAAACGGTGAGAGGAGACGTCGTTCCGATCAAAGTGTAGAGCATGCAACTGCGTGTTGACCTTCGTGGACGTCGAGGCAGAGACAGCGTTGAGGGTTGTCAATAGTGTGACTACAGCCAGCACTTTCAGGATGGAGAGAGCTCTCGAACTTGACTTGGTTGTCATTTTGGCCATCAAGCTATGTGACTAATGTCTGACGGGGAAAATTGCCAACTGATCTTCGTACACATGTGCTGTGAAGCCAAGACCAGTATTCAATCCAAAATCGGTGAAGTTAATATTGTAAAAATATCACCTGTAGACCAGCTAATATAAAAAAGAGTACCTAATATTTTCCTCTGAGACAATATGATATTATTAAATATCAACTTAATATTAGTTAATACGATATTATATTTTTCAAAGATTGCGTAATCGGGCTAAATTAATTAATGATATGTCGTTAACGCTCGACTAGCTGAAGTAGTACTAATCAACCGTGAGGGAGGGACAATTATGAGAGTGGCGGCAAGGTTGGCGTCGTGTGTTGGCACTGCTGAGCGCATTAATCTAGCGCCACAGGCAGCAGGTTTATTAGACGCACGATGTGGACGAGGAGATCGGTAGAGAACAAGAGCAAATGTCTTGATTTCGCTCTATCAACGTTAAACAGCTGCAAGCGTTTGCAGTTTTCCATCTCGATCGTCTTTGTCTGTGTCACAGTGAAATACAAGAGCAAATACTCGTCAGTCTTAAAGCCTACTGCTTTTCTACACCTTTGCCAATCCAAACTGGTGGTAGTGTAAACCAAAACGGAGTGAAGTAACCGAAGTAACATCTAAATTTGAGGAATAATTTTACAGAATTAGTTTTTAGAGCAATGTAGATTTAGTGTAGTGCAAACTGGCAAGAACGCGAGTGACACATCCAGCAATACGAACTACGGGCGCGCTGCGGACTGGGGTACATACAAAGATGTAAGGGGGCGTGAAAGCTGCGTATGGGCGCCAGAACACGAGAGTGTGGGTGCACACAGTGACCTCTCAGCTTGTACAGCCTGCATAATCATCGATAGAGGGACCAAGACGGCCAGCAACCCGATTAGACAGAGTACATCAAGGATGAGAGCTTTGGGCTGTGCTTGCAGATGGCAACCAGCCGTGGGGAATGGAAGGAGAGGGGTTGCAGCTCTGAGTTTGCGTCTCAAGAACGGCGCTCAGCGATTGACGTGCCATCAAGCGCTCGTGTTGGGGCTGCTTGCCGGGACGGTCAGCGTTAAGAAGAGTTCTACACATCTAACGGCGTCCGGTGCGGGGCGCTCGTGGCTATAGCCAATGCACTAATGTAATGTACGTGGTGCATGTGCAGTACTTTAAGTACTGTAGAAGACAAGATACTGTTATCGAGGCGACCATCGAACAAGATATATTCATCACTGTACAGCTGATAGCGCCGTCCCTTCTTTACCATCTTGATGACGTTCTAAAAGGCGAAGGTACTGTAAACGCAATTTACGTTACATAGGCAAGCATGAATTCATGGACCCCACTACTGTACTAATACCGGTGAGTTTGGAATGCAGGAAGGAGATGGAGCCTCAAAATTTTCCTCGGCGGAGGCTCAAAAAGTAGAGCTTGAGTTGCCGAAACGGCTAAAACACTTTCAGTTAGATTATAAACAATGTTAAATAGACGACATGTTTTTTTGCAAAGCCCAAAACATTGCATTGGCAAAGCTCAGTAACTATCGCTAAAACCGGCTCACACACATCTGGCGGAAGCCTTCCGCCTGCAGCGATTCCCTTTCTCAATGAATTGATTGTATGAGATACATTGCAAATTCCACAAATTTGCCGATGCTGCCTGGGTTGAATCGGCCATACAAAAAACAAGCCATTCGAAAATCGACCGACACAGTTACGGATGGTACTGTAGTCCAATGTCGTACCTAATGTGAGCTTTAGAGAACTCAAGTGTTTAAGCCGATTCGAGCGGTTTTGGGTCTACATGGCTTGGCCCATTCAATCAACCCATCTTGGAAACTTCGACTAGAAACCACAATACATGTATTTGCAGAGGTGTTAAGTAGTTTAAAAGTAATATGATATTAGCGAATACGAAAGGGTATCGCAAGCGAGACGAATGCTTACAGTACGGTACTACGTATTTCGAAGTAGTACGTCATATTGACTGGTACGTATTCCAGTATTTTGCCTCAATAAGGAATCTATAAAACCTAATAACCTGTGACGCTGTATCATAACATCATCCGAAACATGCATGATTTAAAGCCTCTAGTACGACAACACCGTGGCAATCCTATTCAAATCAGGCCTTCCATATTAGTGTAAAATACTGTACTAGCAGTACAGTACGGAAGTTCTTTCGAGATTTGTGAAAGCTGTAAGCAAATCTGCGAAAAAAAAACAGAGTGGACTTTTAATACCGGTACGTGCTTCAGTAAAACCTCTTCAAAATGAGCATTGAGAAACATGATATCCTTTTGTACATGAAATATTTTGCGTCTGGTTCCCAGAGATTACTAGAGAGCAAACTTTTAATTAAATGACAAACTTGATACAAAATGTTGAGGGCCTTTTTTGTAAGCAAATTGGGGGACCCGGAGTCCGTCTGTCAATCAGTCCGTCGCATTCCCCGTCTTGCTGTTTTTATCTGCCTTTTCGCATGGCTACAGCCGGCCTGGCTAATACAGTTTCGTCCCATCTTACCGACCACGCCTATCTTTCTGACTCGACCTAACTATGCAAAAATTAAAAATATATCCACAATCGTTACACAATTAGCTCGCGCCCTGATTGGTCAATATTGACCGACCTGCCACCATGATTGGGATCTGTCGCACGATCAGACCGTCTCTCGCCCTCGCGATTGGACGTAGGGTAAACATTTCTGTCGAGCACGAAACGCATCGATTGGTTGCAAACAGCTAGGGCGAGCTGCGCAGATACTTGATTATTGACATTTAGCTACGCAAAACCTGTCGTAAGTACTGCAAATCGGGCACAGTAACCACTTTATTTTCTAAGAGCTCTGCACACTTCTCAAATAGAGATATTTATCATTATTAATGTAGACTTCACAGACCAGTATTTTGGAAGAGCTCTGCGATGTTATTTTCCACACACTTTTCAAAGTAAAGACGATATTAATAGTATTAGTATTACTAAAATAAGCTTCACAGGCCGCATTTGTAAGAGCTCGGCGATGCTATTTTCCACAGACTTTCTAAAGTAGAGACGATAATATTTTTTTAATATTAAAGTAGGCTTCACGACCAGCGCGTTTTGTAGGAACTTTGCGAATATATATCTTTTTGCTTCACCTGGCACTCACCACTGCCACCGTGCAATGAAGGCGCGCGGCTGCACGGTCATTGCGCTATCTGCTCCCGTGCACCCCACCCGACGAATGCATGCGCGCACGATAGATAATTGTTTTTGTCAGTTTATATTGCATGTAATGTATGTATTTGTTTGGAAAATTTGATATTATTACTAATATAGTATATAAATAGTAATATTATAAAACAGTTAAATATTTTGCCTAATAATAAATACCAGCCTTATATTACCGTACTATTGGCTAATATTTTGACGCACGTAATTGGTAAAACAAATAAATTTAGTTAGCTTACTCACAATTTGCAGGACCACGTGCAATGCATATATTGACCTGCTTCTGCTGAATCGGCAGCGGCTTACGACGGACCCAGGGGCGCGCTGCATCTGCTGTGGGAAGCTGCAGTACGGCTACGCGTTCCGTACGATTAGCGGCCGAGACATCGTGTGGCGCTGTGTAGCCTGCGAGACCGGCCCAAAGCAGTTGGGTTTTGGGAGGAAAAGCCACCACCACCTTATTCGGCCGAAGTGCGCCGCCAAGAAAGCCTGGCGAACGTCAAGAAGGCGATGGGTCCTGACTGGTACCCCAAGAAGAAAAAGAGGCACAGCCGCCCTCGCAAGCTGACCGCCCGAAACGCCAAGTACATCGAGCGAAAGAAGCAGCAGATGAGCAAGTAATTGGTCAATATACCCTTTCAGGCCTCCATTTTCTACCTATCTTTCTATTTCGTATATTGGCTGACGGTGCGAGGCTTGGAGCGGCACAAACGGTAAGCTGACTATGGCGCTCCCAATAGTGTTGACGCACCTATAGAGCGAAACGCGTTTCATATAATAATTAGTGCATGGTATCTACTGTGTACCCTTGCAATCTGACCGTTTCTATCTGCATACACGTACACTCGCTCACTTGGGCTAAGGCAAGACCACGCTATCTGTATTGTCAACGTTCACTGCGTATATTTCACTAATGTGCGCTCACAAATTGAAACTACAGTATTGAGTGAGCACTACACGCGACGAATACGTTGCTGTCTACGTACACACGAGCACGTGTGCGGTAATGCAGTCAATAAAGAGGATGTGGCAAGTCGATGTGCCTGTACGCAGTACCGTATTTTAGTGCCCTGTTCAAATTGGTCGAGATCAGAGCTGGGATGGTTATAAGGTGTACCCGCCGCGCGCGTATATATCTGCTAGCAGACGCGCGGTCAGCTAGCCTGTATCTCTGCGGTATGACCACTGCCGAGCTAGTGACGCGCCTGGTCATATAGACTGATACATCTGAAGCGTAAGCACAGTAAGTCAGCACGACGACGCAAATGTACCGAGAAAGCGATAGTGACCCTATACATGTGTTTAAGCTCTCACGGGCGCGTGTTATACACACTCATTAGCGACCTCGCGCTATATGCACGGACACATCAAATAGCAAACCGAGTTGATAAGTAGGCAGCAAAAATACTTCATATATTGTACATGAGCTACTTTTTAAATTTAGTCTAAACATCACTACAATATGATACTCTGTCTACAGTCATGTGGCTTTGTGCGCTTGGCATACATATAGGAGCCAGTAAATGCCACTCGATAAGGATCTACGCCACTCTGTCGGTCAGTATCTATGCAAATAAGTTTGTAAGTGCGTCAGCTATGCAAGTAAGATCAATGTATGCGAAAGAAAGTGGAAAGACCCTTCAGTAATATAATAAACAGCTCAGCGGAACAGTTTCAAGGCATACTATCGCTGTTTGTGGCGACCATCGGCAAAACCTATCTGTCCTAAAAGATACTTCGCACGAGAAGCTGACCAAACCTTGCTCTAATAGATCGTCGC